GCAGCAGGTGGTGGGATTAAAACAGATTGTTGTGTTTGGCACTTTTTAAAACACTATTATTAACAGTTTTGGGAATAATTAATATTATTAATACTAGGTACAGAGGGCTAATGTGAAAAATCTCAGAATGATCTGGACACTGAAAAATACAACAAGTAGTTTGATGTTATTCTTTTTGTATTGGACCTAAGATTGATTTTAGCATTGAAAAAAAAAATGGAACGTGGACTTTAAAAGTGTACTGTATATTTTTATGCAGGGTTTTCTTGAGAAATATGGCTACCTCCATGAGCAGGAACACACACACAGTGCAGACAAAGTCACATCAGCTGTCAGGTAATGACACCATTTCCCAAAATGTATATAATTATTCGATTTCTGGTAACCCGAGTTTAAAAATATTGACTGTGACACATTACAGTATGTTAAAGTCACTGTATATAGCAATATAAATGTAACAGAAAACACTGGACCTTATAGGACATAAAAAAAACTTGAGAATATCTGTTGGAACTGCTCAAATTTGTTATCCTTCAACTGATACGATCTTGATTTCAGTCTACTTTACGCTTAAAGCTTGTTATTTTGGCCCGTCGAGATGTAATCTAATGCTGAAATTAACATCATTAGTCGCGGTCATGCAGCTCTCAAAAGAAGCTAATATTTACATTAAACTCCACTTCGCATGTGTTCCTTTTCCAAGGAAATTGGCTTAAATAAAATGCTTTATTGCACATTTCTGATTACTCATGCATGTATATTACCAATGCATGTTTCTCAACTGCTTCTTCCTGAGACTGGTTCACTGATTGCATATGTTATTGACTATTTTCCATTCTCTCCCAATTTAGGCAATTTCAGTGGCTGTCCCATCTGCCCATCACTGGGAGATTGGACAGTACTACGTTGTTGAAGATGGCATCACCACGCTGTGGGGTGAAAGACAGAGGTAGCAATAAAGCCTGGGCACGGCGAGTTAACTCTATTTTTACAGGGCAAAGCCAACAGCACTTTCGCAAGAAGCGCTACACTCGACCAGGTCCGTATGGGTTTGGTTTTGCCTCTTAAATATTTAAAGTGCAGAAAATTCAACAACTGCATAAAATTTGTCAGTAAGAAACACATTAAGTAAAACTTGGACCTGTGAGGCAATACGTTTTCAATTTGTAGATTACTCTACATTGTTCAAATGTAGCCTAAGGATGCCTGGAAATCTTTAGGACCCATTACAATATGGTAACCAGTTTAGATCCAGTGACTTTACTGAAGTGGCAAAATACTATTCCACATCCATAGCCACATAATGTGTGTATGAGCTGAATAGGATCCTCCTTGGAAATAAAAGGCAAACACCTAAGCAACATTTGTTTGTCGTGTACCAACCTATCAAAAAAGTCATAGCTAACATAACATCTCATAATGTATGCTAGTATTACAAATTGAATACTGTAGCTAGTAACAAAGGGTTAGGGTTAGAAGTCCAATGTTATGTCTACAAATAATGATATCATTACCATAAAAACAAAAGTTTGTCCAGTGTTTGATCACCTGTTGGTTCGGTGCGGTCAGTGGGGCTAGGGAATAGTTCGCTTCTGTGTTAGCTAGATAAACTCGCTCCTCGACAGTCCTCGCTGTTGGACAATGATGAAATGAATTTTTAGGTTTCCCAGAGATGTTGTAGTGGGCGTTTTCATTATTATTCACATTAGCCTATCACAGCAAGATTCAGTTTTGCATCATATGACATTGGTAGCCATATTGACTACTACCACTACTACTACTGCTACTACTACTACTACTACTACTACTACTACTAATAATAATAATAATAATAATAATAATAATGTCTTACTGGGGTGGCCAGCCCTTAGCCATGCCAATAAACACATTGTAGTTAATAAATAATTTATAGTAGTTACTGATTAATATTATTTGAAGTGATCGAGTGAATTATTATTATTATGGCCAAAATCTAAGCCAAGTTTACTGGACATGATGTACCTGGGTTTCAGAAGCCATTCCCTCACAGTTTTCCCATAATCACCCAAACACCAGGACATCAAATGACTGGAGAATGATAGCTCCAGTTACTAGATATAAGCATTATTGCATACTGATGAAAAGTAATATCTCACAACATTTGTTTCTGAACTATAAATAACCACATATCAAGGAATGAAGCTCTACTAAAGTCAAAGACTGTGACCTTTCTATTATGTTAGGTATTGCATATTAAATATTTTGATAGTGGTTTCTGTTATTTGATCCATCAATTTATCACTAGAATTTAAACCTTTATAAAAGTCAGGGGTTTGTTTTTAATTGATATCCCTTTTTATTTTCGTGTCTTTATTCCTACACAAGCCCAAAGGGCCTTAAGGTCGTATCTGTAATGTGTGTTGCATGTTTAAGTCCAAAGAAAATGCACTGCTTCCAGGGCAGGGTGTGCCTTTTTTGTAAAAGCTGAGACCTAACATCATGGGGAGGAGTAATTGCTACCTGTGCAGACGTTCAGCAAGGAGGACGACACTCCCACACCTGCAGGGCCCAAAATACACACACGCACGCACCTTAACCCCTCCACCACAGCTTACCTGCATCCTAAATGACCACAACTAGGGTTTATAAACATCTAAAACGCTTAATCATTCTCCCCAACATCTTCCACATTAAAGGCAACATTCTGTTTAAAAGAAAGTGTGTAGTATGCTGGAAAAGGTAAGAAAGAACATTTTGGGACGGAAATTCAGTGTTTCAATGGAAAACTAGACACGTCTGTTTGTGTGCTCACTAAAAACTTCCTCCGGAAAATGTCCTCCTGTCGCTCTGGGGATTTGTAATACACCAGGAATGCAGCAACAGCAGGTTGTGTTTTGTGTCAGTTCCTGACGCAAACTATCTGTTTTCACTTTAAAACTAACAGATTTGGGCCAAACAAGCAAATTTTAGACAACTGTAATGTTTACTTATTTATAACAAGAATACATTAGAGTTGAGTGCATAATGTTTGTATTCCCTTTGGTTTCTTGGTGGAAACTATAACTCTATTTTACAGTGACTACGTTTACGTGCACATCAAATTCCATTTAAGGTCCATTTGAGTCATGGGAATTCCCATTCCAGGAATGGGAATCGGAATTTGGGGAATCAGAATATTGTCTTAATCTGAATCGGGCAATCAGATTGCGGTGTTTACATGACTCGATACTAATCAGAATATTGCCAAATTCCGATTAATATTGGATTATTAATATGCGTAATATTATGCATTAGTTGTGGCCTAATGGTTAGCGAGTCAGCCTTGTAACCTGAAGGTTGTGGGTTCGAGTCTCAGGCTGTTACAGTAAAAAAGGCTGCCCACTGCTCTGGGTGTGTATGTGTGCACTTGGATGGGTGAAATGCAGAGCTGTTATTTTTATCAGACTGGTGTAGAAGCTCAAACTCTGAGCAGTCTTGTTCAATGGGAGTAAAGAAAAACAGGACCTATAACAGAAAATATTTACTTTTCATAAAGCTGGTGTTCTAAGAGCATTAAGGGATGCCTTTACCAATAGTGACAGTATCCCTTAACACCTAATGCCGAAAAATAACGTGGGGAAAAACTGCCGAAGAGAGTCTATAGTGTATAGAAGTTTGCTATAGACCAAACCACATGGTACAGAATAGCAGTTTAAATAAGGAAACCTAAATATCTGGGACATATTAACTGTCCTAATGAGACTCTAATGAGTGCTTTATTACTCAGAGGGTAAAACCGTTAAGCTTATAGATCAAAGACAGTAGACATTCAAAGATAGTGCTATTATTAATAATGTAATATAAATTTACCTAATTGGCAAATAATGTGTCTAATTGGAGTGAGAAAGATTTGGACTTTTTCCTTCAACCTAGATTCGATAAAATAAATCATTTCTAACATATATCAATTCACTATGCATTTAATAAAAAACATTTTTTATTCACTTAGGCATATTCCTTATTCACTTATGCCATGTATTTTGTGCACAAGGAATTGGTGAGTGTGGAGCAGTGAACCGAGAGCGCAGAGAAACTGTTTGAGAACACTTTAGTTTAGCGAGCACTGAGCACTGAGACACACACTTCACACTTCCTTTCGCCGAGGTTCTATACTTTATGAATGGCTCGCAAATCAAGGTGTAATCCAAAGCACCTTGAGCTCATTTTTAATGTCGTGCTTGTGTGCTCGGTTTGGCTGCCCTTGCTCTCTATGTATAAATGCCATAACATCTTAAACATAAAACTCAGCACGAGCATAACCATAACTCCCCTGACTGCGTAATACTAAGAAGGTCATTTAGGCATCAGTATCAGTACAAAAAAAAAACAAAAAACATGTACCCATTCTGAAAAAATTGTGCCTATTCAAAACTTTTGACTGGTAATATAATCTCTTTGACCTGTTTGATACCTTGTCAAAATTAAAACATCTGCATAAAACAAACTGTAATATGCAGCGAGATGTAGGACGCAAGTACGTAAACTGTTTTTATTGAGGCAAAACCAAGAATCATAATCAGAACCCTGAGCAAAGGTCAAAACACATGCAGGCAAAGTTAAACTAATATGATCCAAGAATCAAGGGTCAAGGGTCTAAACTAGAAAGTACAACAAAACACAGAACTCAGGAAACGAGGCTCAGACTTCGAGTTACTAATTCCACGATAATACTTTGCAACAGCGAATGATATGTGAAGGATATAAAAAAAACACACTAGTCAAGAAGGAACATAGAACATGTGAACACAATCAGGGAACAAACCAATGAGACGACAGAGGCAGAGACAGGACTAGAACAGAATCCAAGCCAACTACAGGTAAATTGTGTTTGTTACCATGGAAACTGTGATGTAAAGCTGGAACACTGACTGCCATTAAACTTTCCTGTTTGGTACACGTTATGCAAGTTAGGGTAACCCTTATGTAGTAAATCTCTGGGAATGTGTAAGTGAAATTCATAACAAGATCATTGTTGCTTTGTGGGCAGTGGTAGCTCAGTGGTTATGGTGTTGGACTACAGGTTAGAAGGTTGTAAGTTCAAATTACAGCACTGCCATTTCTGGGCTCTTCAGCAAAGCCCTCAGCTATATAAATGTAAGTCCTTCTGGACAAGGGTGTATACCATAAATGTAATTGAAGCTTACTAAAATGCATAATCATTGTGTTATGCAGTGATTTTACTACTGGTCTCTTTGCTATGGTGAATGCTGTCCTAGCAGAATGATATGTGTTACTGAACACTAGCTGCTTTGAGCTCGAACCCAAATTTGAACAAAGAAATTTTGTCGGAATTCAAACTTGACTCCTGTTCATGTTTACAAAGCTAGCATTCCATCATCCTTGCCCAGGCCAAGTGTGTGTGTGTGTGTGTGTGTGTGTGTGTGTATGTGAGTATGTCCATGTTTGGCTTGTAAAGCAAAGCCGGAAGGTACTGTGGTTTTGTTGTCTGGGAATGTTTGCCAGTGAAATGATGAGGAATGTCGTCACTCTTATGACATATTCTGAATGTGACATCTAAACTTGAAGTCCATTGTTTTATCTCATCCTGAAGACCAACAAATTGGCTTACAACTGACTATTGTAAGACAGCCATAACATTAGGAGTAGTGTTAAAAAGCATGTATTGATGAGCTTAGCAATAGCAACTGAGCAGATACACAGTAGAAGGTCATAATCATGAAAGACCAACAAACACTTGTTAAACAGATCAAGAACACAAGCCATGATGAAAGAACAGACATGCTTCAAGTCCACTAGCTGTTGTGTCAACCTGCAGCAAAAAAGACCCAAAGCCCACTCCTTGGGTTTTTTTCAGTTATTCAATCACTTGAAACAACATCTAGTGATGTCCATGGGCCACAGACATTCGGCAGAGAGCTAAAGACTTTAAAGAACTAAACACTCTAATGATAGTTTACAAAAATTATTCTATTTCATAAACCTTTGAAATCTGGGACTATAGTGTTATGTAGTCAGATAGACAGACTATAGTCAGATTTCGCTGTGGCTGAAAGAAAAAGATGCCAAAAACGACGAAATAATAATAATAATATTTATTTTATTTATTGTTTTGTTTTGTTTTGTTTTTAGAATTGTTTTAGACCCCTGTTCTTTAACCATAAATTCAGTTCCGCATTGAAATATTTGAATAATGAATTACTTTATAATGGATAAGGAGCCAGTTTAACAACAAAAAACATTAGTCTCGCTAAAGATGCCTAAAACCTGCAAGCTAAGTGTGATTTCCTCACACAGCGAACGTCAGGCTTTGATTGCGCTGCTGGAAGGTTGCGCACCATCGCAAAATGGACATGTCCCTGATCATTGCAGTTTGTAATCAGAATGTGAAAATGTCGCAGTTGGAGTGGAATCTGTAAATGCAATTTTCTCCCTTTTCACTTCTGGGAGTAAGCATATTTTGAAATGCTAGACGATTGCTTGTGGAGATACATGCAGAAGAGAAAGATATGTCCATTTAGGAAAACCTGTAGTTTTCAGAAGTATAGAACAATATACCGGGTGTCCCAGAAATCTCCATACAAAGGGCACTATGTACGCCAGCACCACATCGGTTTTGCCTTCGTCAGAGGATGTTCGTGGACGTCCACTTCTCGGTTGGTCTACAACACTTCCAGTCTTTCTGAATTTGTTAATAAGTTTGGCAGCAGTGCCGTGTGTGACGTGCTTGCCATGTTTCCTGTTAAAGTCCATCGCAACCTTGCGAGAGCTTCCCGATCCAGCCACGAGAATGATTTCAATACGTCCTTCTTTTGTTAAAGGCATTCTTAAACCCTATCTGAAAAATATATATAATATAAACTAAGTATGAAACATTTTGGAAGACATTTTGATAAGAAGTGTTAATTTCCCCTACGTATGGAGATTTTTGGGATACCCTGTAGTAAGAAATATCCAAATTTCACAAATTCCATATGAGAGGCTTTCCCAGTCCACCACATGCTTCATTCAATAGAGATGTTATGATCTGCACTCAGAGAGTGGTTCATTTCAAATCCTAAGTGTTGCGGTGTGGGGCTAAAATAACAAAAATTTCATCACCATCGAATTCCTACCACGAATACATACAGTATTTGTGGTGCAGACTTATTCACTGTACATATTCTTTTCTATTTTTCTACTTATGTAATGCTTTTAATAATAGCTCGCACAAAGCAGCTTTGCAGAAATGTGGCTCCAGACCCCTAACAACCAAGGTGCAGAGAAATCCTCTATGGACATTAGAAGAAACCTTTAGAAGAAACCTTGAGATTTACATCCTGAGAATAACACACACATTCTATCATTACAAGCATTTCTGCATCTGTAATTGCTTCCAGGAGGGAAGTCCTGGAATGTTTCAGATTTAGATTACTCTCTCTCTCTCTCTCTCTCTCTCTCTCTCTCTCTGTGTGACCTTTCCTTGAGGGTTGGTCTAAGTGCTGTAGTTAGAGTTCAGTCAAACTGTCCCATGAGATTCCTTTATTCAGCTTAAATCTGTTTGCACTGGGCTCATGATGGTTCCTATACTCAGCATTTACAGTGTGTGAATGATAAAATATTTCTTTTATTAAAAAAAAAAACAATTCACACACACACACACATATTGAAACAGACTGTGTTTTGTGCCATTCTCTGCTCTACATTAGTATGTGAACACCTGCTTGTAGCACAGCAGATGTTTAGAGGCATATTTAGAGAAGGTCATCACTACACGCATTCATGTGGCTTGGTCCTCCACAGCTGGCTGCAGGTTTCGCACCCCAGTGATCTCAGAGTGTCCATTTCCATGACAGCAGTTTAGCATTCATAGTTCTAGGACTTGGATTTATTACATGACTTGTAACTTGACTTGGATTTACCGTTGATTGAGCACACAGTTCTTATTTTAAAAAAAATTAGTCTATGTCAAATAAGGGTTCTTTTGCTTGTCACTCTGGGGGTCTCTACAAGACTATTGAGAATCCTGTGAGATGGTGTTGCTCTATCAGGGAGGGTTCCAAGTAGAACCCCTTTAGGAACATGAGAACATTTAAATATCCAAAGAACCATTGAAGAACTCTTTTTTCAGAGTGTGTTTGAGACTCAGACTCAAGTTTCTGAATTTTGCTCTAAGCAGAATATAATAAAAATGAAAAATAAAAAACTTTCATTCTTGAACATACCTCAAATTACGCTACTGCTGCCTACAGCTTTTTCTCTAGCCATAGTTTCCCTGATGAATGAAATCATTCAAGGACTTTAAGGACTTGAATAGCAGTTTAGAGACTTTGGATTTGGCTTAGATGACTTAAGACTCACCTTGGATTTGGACTCTCTTTATCACCTCTCACTTCCAATACCATGGCTTATGTTTTAGCCTTCTTAGGGATCCAACTTGAACCATAAGGAAACATCATCTAACCTGATCCTTGCAGGAAAATAGTACAGGCATTATTATTACAATTTTAAAAATGATTTCCACGTCATTTTAAATATATTTATGGCTTCTTAGAGTTCCTAGACTGCCACTCGTTTTTGCTGGTGGTTTTGGTTTTCCTGTCTCTTCCATGACCTTCATTTTCCCATAGCTAATTTTAAAGGACTAGACATTCAAAAAAAATCACATTTCCCTTGTGGGACTTCTCAGTGGCTCAGCTTGAGATCAGTTATTTCTATATCTGGTGGCTGAGCTCTAACAGTGTCATTTGGACTCTCTTAAACTTCATGCATTTAGTATGTTGCATTTCTTTCACTCTGTTTAATTCTCAGTGCTGAAGATCACCCAACTTAACTCTAGTGGCTTTTTATTTTTTGCAGTTATGCTGTGTATACTCTCAGTTGTGTACACAGCACACCATATCATCTAAGCAATGGAAATAAGCCAGTGATATGGGCCAAGTTTTGCAAAGACACAAACTATACCTCAAACTATGTGTCATTTTGATGCTGGGAAGCACGTAATTACATTCGAGTCACGTAACCTCTGGTGTATGTTAAGCAAATTGTTTACAGGTCTTGCTGCGAGAAGCTCTTCTTGGTTTACATAGCTGAGAGAATGGATGTTGGTGTGTATTTTAAATAAGAGGATACCAGGAAACAGACTTTTTGTACACACAATGAATATCATAACATACCGTAAGTAAGGAATAAAAAACAACAGGCCGTGTTGTTATAGGAAAATAAATGATGGGGCAGCATTTCCACCCCAAAACTGATTATATTCCTAAGCGTATTATTCATAAAGTTCTCATTCACAGCTCCATACATTTTAAATTCCATTGAAATACTAATTAACTCTTTTGATTGTCCAATGATTCAAAATATGTTGCTATTTGACAGATAATATCCGTTGTTCCATCGATTTGCTCGTCTTTCAAGCTCCAAATGTGGAACAGCATGCTCGCTTTCATAGAGTTATTATTGTACCTAGTGGTCAAAAATGAGAAAAAGAAGAAAAAATGTGTCTCTCGTTTCCAGTGCTTGAATTGTTTAGTCTACCTTCAGGTCTTTTTTGTGGTTTCTGTGATGTACTTGGGCTGGAGATTTTGCTGAAACCTGGCAAACCGGGTTAATGATATTAGCTCTACTGTGTTTCTCTGGGAAGCACACCTGCTGTATAAAACATAGCTGAGCAAAGGGACATCTAAAAATAACCTGCTAAACTGTATGCAGGATGACTGTATGTTGTCAACTCGCAAGTGCCTATTATGTGGTTACTCTAAAAACACTCGATATTAGTCTATAGTATAAATCAAGCTTGATAGCCTCTTGAATTGACAGCCCCTCACCCTATCCCCCAAATATATGTTCATGATTTGTTGCTGCAATGCTTACAGTTTTTTTTTTTTTTCTTTTTTTGTTGTTGTTAAGGAACAAAACGTCATACTTTTTTATCCATTCATAGGTGCATTTAATGTCGTGTTCCTGTTATCACTTACGTTATAGCAGCTATAGACAGTCATTCCTTCATAGTCAATCTCATAATCATAATGTTATAAGCAGCTATAGACAGTCATTCCTTCACTTTCTCTTGAGGTTACGACATCCTTAGACGTTCGCATGTTAGAAAACTTTCCT